GAGATGTTTGCAAATCGATATTTCAATATCAAGGAATTGTTAATTGATTCATTAAAATCTCAAATTATTTTATAATTTTGTGGATCTATGATATTTCTATGAGATTACTTGGAATTACTCTAAGATTGTTTATGAAATTTATATGAGATTTTAGTTTTATATAGAAAATTCGAGGCATATGAAAACCAATGTTAAATAATTCGTTACTTATTTCAAATTTCATATTTACGTTTTTACTAATTTACACATTATTTCTTTTAATAAATAAAAAAAGTTAATAAGTATAATAAGTGTTGATGATAAAGTGGTCTTTTTAATGAAACTTGCCGAAAGTGAGGACAATAAAAGAATACGTAATAAATAAATAAAATATTGTAAACAGCAATAATTTAGTTATTAAAATACAGAAACTATTACAATTAAGGATTAGAGTCTCCTTATGAAATTCGAGGGATTTAAAACCGATATTTCAATACTTAATTGATTGAAATCTCATTTTTTTTTGTAATTTTGTGGTTATAGATCTATGGGATTTTAGTTTTATGTACGAAATTCGAGACTTTTGTAAATTGATATTTCAATATCAAAGAATTGTTAATTGATTCATTGAAATCTCAAATTATTTTGTAATTTTGGGATTCTATGATATTTCTATGAGATTCCTTGGAATTCCTATAAGATTTTTTTATGAAATTTCTATGGAATTTTAGTTTTATAATATCAAAGAATTGTTAATTGATTCATTAAAATCTCAAATTATTTTGTAAATTTCATAAAAAAAATCTTATAAATTACTAAATAAATCCACAAAATTTCGTACATAAAACTAAAATCCCATAGAAATTTCATAAAAAAAATCTTATAGGAATTCCAAGGAATCTCATAGAAATATCATAGATCCACAAAATTACAAAATAATTTGAGATTTCAATGAATCAATTAACAATTCTTTGATATTGAAATATCAATTTGCAAACATCTCAAATTTCGTACATTAAACTAAAATTCCATAGAAATTTCATAAAAAAATCTTATAGGAATTCCAAGGAATCTCATAGAAATATCATAGATCCACAAAATTACAAAATAATTTGAGATTTCAATGAATCAATTAACAATTCTTTGATATTGAAATATCGAATTTGCAAACATCTCAAATTTCGTACATAAAACTAAAATCCCATAGAAATTTCATAAAAAAAATCTTATAGGAATTCCAAGGAATCTCATAAAAATATCATCGATCCAAAAATTACAAAATAATTTGAGATTTCAATGAATCAATTAACAATTCTTTGATATTGAAATATCAATTTGCAAACATCTCGAATTTCGTACATAAAACTAAAATCCCATAGAAATTTCATAAAAAAATCTTATAGGAATTCCAAGGAATCTCATAGAAATATCATAGATCCACAAAATTACAAAATATTTGAGATTTCAATGAATCAATTAACAATTTTGATATTGAATATTTACAAACATCTCGAATTTCTTACATAAACTAAAATC